AGAACCCAAAATAGCTTTTTCAAATTTAAAGTTTGCTCTCATACCCTGAAACCTTGCAGTTAATATCGTACCGTGCATGCCGTGCATCATTTTCTATTGCGCAACTTTCGTGAACACGACTGGTTTTAAAGTTTTATTTTTTTTGGGTTTTTGTTTTTTGGATAAATCGGCTACGACTCCGGCGGTCACAATCACAAAAAACAGCTCACGCATTCAAGAGTCGCAGGCGAGGGAACGACAAAAGATTTGGGGGTATAGGTAGAAAGGCGGGGCGGCCCGTATCCGCGCCACGCGAAAAATGATGAATGTTCAGACGGGTTGAAGGAGGGTGGTGGGGGGAAGAGTCTACATAGCCGTATATGCGGGGAGGGCTGTACTACGGGCTAGAGCGGGTATATAACATATGCACGCCGATACAAAAGTTACAACAAATATATGGTGTGTATGTGCTGGGAGAGACAGACAGAGGGAATGGTACGAGATGATCGAATTTGTTGGCAGACGACCGAAGCGAACCCGGGGAGCAGCCACGTTGAACTTGATGGTAGAGCGCGAGTTGTTGTGCTCATTCGCTGGGCTTCGGCTTCTCGTTGCTGCCTCCGGAGGCGGCTTCTGTCGTCGCCTTGTCGAGCGACAGCTTCGCCATCTGCTCCTGGGCCAGCTGCTGGTCGTTGATCTCCTTCAGGTAGAGCTCGTAGTCGCGGATCATCTCCTGGTCCTCCTCCTCGCCATTGTACGGCTCGTCGACGTGCGTGTCTAAAAGGAGATATGTTAATGGCAACTAATTGCAAGCACAAACCATAGAAAGCCCGCTCCTCGTCGCTCAGCGAGATCTGGGCGCCGTTCTCATCGACATAGCTGCTCGACTGCATGGTGGCCGGGTGCCGGAACTGAAAATGATTCAAAATAGGTGCCGATTTCTCCCCCGTATACGCCTATAATAGAAAACATTTACGCAGACACTTTTTCGATACAAAAAGCTCCGAAAAGGTGAAAAAAATTTCGAAAAAGTTCAAGTTTTTCGTCATAAAAGTACGAAAAAATGTCGCAAAAGCGTCGAGACTTTCTAGAAATCTATTCCAGATCAAAAGGTATAAAACCTAAAAAAAAAGATACTATATTTTATTATTACCAGACGAAAACGCAAAAAAAATATTTTTGGCACTGTTTAGAGAAGAATACAACACTACAAAATCCTCACCGGCTGCACGCCTTGCCAATTCTTCTTCGTGTGCTCGTTGATGAGGCTCTTCAGCTCGCCCCGGGTGTGCTCGCCCAGCTTGTGGTGTCCGTTGGAGAAGGCGTCGAGCACCGTCATCACGTCATTCAACTGCGGCTTCAGCGGGTCCATGGTGTTCAAGTGGCGGCCGGCAATCTGAAAAAAAAACGGAAGTTAGTGTACAAAAAGAAAAGATACCTGGAGAATGGTGATGACGTGCTGGATGTCGTCGTCGGACTGTTGATTGTGGGGCAGCCGTACTCGCTCTTCGACCTGATCGAGGAGGGCCTTGCCGAGTGGCTGGATGCGCATTTCGTTCTGAAAAAAAATTATGGATTAGGAGCCGCAACGGGTGCGTTCAGATCGGGCTCAAAAACGGCCCGGAACCCGGAAATGATCAGCAACATCAGCCCCACACTTGTGGCAATTTTGAGCCCGATCTGACACTGACTGCAGCCCTCCTTGGAGCTTCCTGGACCGCACCTCGCGCCACACCCAAACGTACCATTGTTAACCTGGAGAACAGCTCGGCGGTGAAACGCCTCAAGTTGCGGCGCTTGTCCTCCTCCATGTGGTTCCGCGACTCGTGGAATTCTTGGAAGACGGGCAGCACGCAGTTCATGATCAGATCGGCGTTCTAGGGACAAAGTAAAAGGAGCCAGCACGAAAAGCACCTCGCTGAAGAGTTGGGCGACCAGCCGGGCGAAGGTGTAGGGGTGCAGAGTTTCCTCGTCGCCTTGACCGGCAAAAATCGCCTAGAAAAGTGGGTAAAGGAGTTTACATTGCAATTATACCATCTCAATAGCCAGCGCCGTCGCCACCTTCTTGTCCTCGATGCCGAATTCGGGCGTGGCCATGCGCTTCTGGATGGCCCACGACCAGCTCTCGAATTCTGTGGTGTCGCCCAGCAGCTGCTCGAAGCCGATTTGCACCTAAATTCGGTATCTCGGAAATTATAGAAAGCACACCTCCATGACGGCGGCCTTGTCCCGGCAGCCCTGCAGCTTCATCTGGAGGCCAGACGACGGGATGTATTGAGCCGAGTTGTCTTCGCTAAAACAGAAAAATATGTTGGTTGGGGGAAACCAAAAGCTAAAAAGCTAATAACAAACTTACAAAAGCAATTCGACATTGTAGCCGTCTTTCCCATGGATCTCCGGGTTGAAGGCGGCGGTCATCCCGTGCTGCTGCTGCTGCGCGGGCAGATTGTAGGACGACTGAAAAAGGATGGTTTTAGAAGAAAAAAGTATGTAATTTCTGTAGAAAACCCTTCCCTTGAAAAACGGAAGACGAGACGAGCCAGAAAAGAAAGGAGTAATGAAAGTGTAAGGGAAAACTGTGCAGAAGATGTAATCAAACGGAAAGACTGGGAAACAGCAGTAAAATCGCGGGGGTTCAATCGCAACAACCTAATTAAATCAGGCGACGCTCATTAGCTCAAACACAGCGCCGACGGCTCATCAATAACACGGTTGACGGGTTGACGCTGGGTGTGTCCGTGGAAAAGCAGAACTATGGATGGACGGGGCGCCGCGGGAGCGTACAAGCGTGCTCAGGATGGGGAGGGATGCTGTTGTGGAGGGAGGGCGACGACCGTGTGTGTATACAGGCCCTCAGCACCGAACCGCAGACCCCCGCCGCGAGGGGAAAACGGCTGTTCGTTCGAGCGCATCAGCATTAGCAAGGTCGGCGGCGCCCGCAGAGTCATCCAGGTAGGTCCATTCCTGATCTCCCGGTCAACAAGGGGGAGGGGGAAAGCTTGTTGACAACTTTTCACTTCGGGATTGGCGTGCTCTAATAGGCCCAAAAGAGATCAAAGAAAGGTATTATAAGAGTGGAATAAAAGACAAGATATTTCATCTGTCCGAATTTGAGTTCACCAAATTTCGACAAGGAATTATCAACCCAAGCTCATAAGGAGACGTTTTTAATGACAACCGAAGGTGTTAGAAGAATGATTTTAGTGATTTTGCCGAAACTGGGCCATTTTGTGCCTTTTGCGCTCTGAAAAGCGGGTCCGAATCGGCGAAAAATTTTGCACAAGGTAAGCTTGGTCCCCTAAGGAAACCCGAATGTCACTAAAAAACGTCTCGTGATGAAACTCGGCCAGATGACCGATTACAAATCAAATCAACGTCTACCCAGTACTGAATGTGACAAACGACGCCAGATCATTACAAAATCCCGACCAAATTGAGCACTTTTCAAAAAGAAACGCAAAACTATACCGTAGCAGTATTAGAAGAAGATTGCTGGGCCTTGGGCACAAACGACGGCGCGTTCGGGTTCAGCTGGAAGTTGGTGGGGTGGTGGGCAGGCGCCTGGTGTTGCTGCTGTCGACCTGAATAAAAATTTTCACAAAAACGACCCTAGTTTACCAAGATTGTTCCAGGGAGCCTGGCCGTGGTGCTGATGCGGCGCCCCACCGTACGGGTCAGCGTTCTGCAAAAAAAAATTTTGAAAATACTCGAAAAACCTTACATTCTGAGGACCGAAGCCTCCGGGCCGGCGCTGGTCGTAGCCGGAATGCTGCTGCAGGGGTGGCCACTGCATCGGCTGGTGTTGCGCATTGTACTGCGGCTGCCGGCTGTTGTTTGGCACGAATTGTTGCACCGGGTAGTGAGTCCACTCGGACGCGTCCCCGTAGACGCCGTAGGGCGCCTGGTTGTGGTGTGGACGACTCATCTGGAAAAGCACGGTTAGAGCCGAATGAAAATGGAGAATTGCAAAAAAAAAATGTAGAAAGAGAGACAAGGAGGTGCGGCAAAAAGCCCATTAAAATCACGCTATTTATGCCAATTCTACGCTTTCTCATACAAAAATTCTTACGTCGTTTACGCCGAAACGAAGCGAGCTAGATTCAAGGGGTACGCCGAGAAAGCACCCAAATTTGTGGATAATAACTGTTTTAGATCGAAAAAAGCTGCTCAAAAGCGTGAGAATGACCATGTTTACGTCGATTCTAACATCCAATACCAAAAACTATCACGTGGTTTACGCTACAAACGAAACAGGCTAAGCTCAAGGGCTCAGTACATAGATAAATTATCGAAATGTTTTGTATAATAACCCTTGCGCGGCTCAAAGAGAATGTGAGCCAAAAGCGGCTCAAAGCCGTGCGAATGACCTTGTCTACGCCAATTTTACACATCAAATAGCCAAAACTACTACGTCGTTTAGGCCCGAAACGAAGCGGGCTTGGTTGAAGGGCTCGGTACATCAATAAATTACCAAAATTTTTGTGGATCATAGCCTTTAGAGCTAAAAGCGGCTCAGAGCAGTGAGAATGGTCTTGTTTACGCCAATTCTTCAGCAATACGGTCAACAATATTCACATCGCCATATCCCCCAACGAAGCGGGCTCGACTGAAGGGGTCTGCCCGCGGGGGAAGCACTCAATTTTTTGGATTTGGGCCAAGAACTTGTGCCCGAAATCGATCGCCGGTGCCCAAGAAAGGGGGTGCCAAGACGGGAGAGCCGAAAAAAATAATTGGCACGAGTCTTCGTCGAGAGCGCGCGGTTGCCGAATGGGCAGGGTGGTGGGCCGTAGGCGAAATATCGGCGCCTAAGCCGTTGCGAGGCGGCCCCTCCCCGCCCAGTCCCCTGTTTCTCCCCTCCCATTTTTGATTGGCGCCGCGCCCACGCTTTTTTAGGCCGCTGTTTTGACGTTTTTTGTTGTTTTTATATTCAAAAAGTTGTAAAACCAAAAAAGCGCTGCATTTAGTAGAACAAATTGTAAAACCTTGTAGTGAATTCGCAAAAATCGGACGGTCGTAGGAAAATGGTGCGGGATAACGGGAGCGACAGACTATAAGACGCTATTTCTATCGTAGCGACCTAACGACATCCGCAAATTGCCCAAATTCTGCGCTTTGCGTTTTTCCTACTTTTGCGATTTTTCACGATCACCCTTCTGCGCGCCACTTTCTTCGTTGTTTTTTTCGTAATTGATAAATAAATGAATAAATAAATAATTTTGCAATTAATTTTCCGGCTCATTTACCCTTCCAGCCATCAGATTAAATGAAAAAGCGGAATATGGTTATAACATCACGGGATCTTTGCAATGCACATCTTGCATATTATTTTCAACCTTAGCAACTTCATCAAAATTGAGGGAAAAAACGCGCGAACTGACGAAGTTGGGCAATCCAAATCTCGGCAATCTAAATCCGTTATTATATCAAAACATTGTTTTCCACTAACCGAAGCATCCAATCTTTCTGTTTTGTTGAAAGAAAAGCTTTTCCTCTAATAAATCCCTTGTTCCTACCTTCCTTCCACCTTCCCTTTGAAAATTTTTCAAATTTGCCGGCTTTACTATATTTATTTTTTAGTTCCAGCACCTGGACTACAACAACTTGGCCCACCCAAGGTAACCTATCATTTCTCAAGTCAATCTTATCTTTTTTTCCAGATCAACAATGAGCGATGGGGACTTGAACGTCGACAACCTCATCACGCGACTTCTCGAAGGTAAACTACCTCCTGTTTCCGCAACCTTTATGTTTAGTGAGGGGATGCCGCCCGGGCAAGACCGTCTCGATGACGGAGAGCGAGATCAAGGCGCTGTGCATCAAGTCGAGGGAGATATTCCTCTCGCAGCCGATCCTGCTCGAGCTCGAGGCGCCGCTCAAGATATGCGGTGACATCCACGGCCAGTTCAACGACCTGCTGCGCCTGTTCGAGTATGGAGGATTCCCGCCCGAAGCCAACTATCTCTTCCTCGGCGACTACGTCGATCGCGGAAAGCAGAGCTTGGAGGTAATCATTTTTCCAAAAACGAAAAAATTTTATGTTTAGACAATCTGTCTGCTCTTGGCCTACAAAGTCAAGTACCCGGAGAACTTCTTCCTGCTGCGCGGCAACCACGAGTGCGCCTCCATCAACCGCATCTACGGATTCTACGACGAGTGCAAGCGGCGCTTCTCGATAAAGCTGTGGAAGACGTTCACCGACTGTTTCAACTGTTTGCCGATCGCCGCGCTCATCGACGAGAAGATCTTCTGCTGCCACGGAGGGCTGTCGCCCGATCTGCAGAACATGGAACAAATCCGTCGCATCATGCGCCCTACCGATGTCCCGGACACTGGTAAATTTCGAGGTTATTGAAAAAACACTGTTTTTTTCAGGACTTCTTTGTGATCTGCTGTGGTCGGACCCGGACAAGGACGTACAAGGCTGGGGCGAGAACGACCGTGGCGTCTCCTTCACGTTCGGCCCGGATGTCGTCGCCAAGTTTCTCAACCGCCACGATCTCGACCTGATCTGCCGCGCGCATCAGGTAAAATAATTTTTGATTTCCCAAATAAAAATTTGTTTAGGTTGTCGAGGACGGCTACGAGTTCTTCGCGAAACGCCAACTGGTGACGCTCTTCTCGGCCCCGAACTACTGCGGCGAATTCGACAATGCGGGCGGCATGATGAGCGTCGACGAAACCCTGATGTGCTCCTTCCAGGTATGATTTTCATTTCCTCAATTTTCGTTTTTTTTTTAGATTCTGAAGCCATCAGAGAAGAAGGGCAAATATCCGTACCCACCAACGAACCCTAACCGGCCGGGCACCGTCGCGTCGGGCAAAAAGAAATAATTATTTGCCCCCGTCCGAAACCTTACTACTCCATTTCCACAATTGTATTATTCTACAGACTATGTTCACTTGGACTTAAAGAGAAACATCCCTCCTTTGGCAGCCCCCTCAGCAAGTTTTGTAATAACTCGGGTAGTTGCGCTTCATTATAATTACTGCAAATCCCTCATACATCCGTTGTCATCCATTCACGTTCACCATCGCCCCGATCGTTTTGATCATACTTGCTGAGCCCCGAAATTCCCCTCCTCATCCTTTCGCCGCGTTCTGATTGTCCCGCCCCCACTGTTTTCCCGTTAACAATATAAATAAATAAATGGCTTATAATAGTCGTTCCTGATTCGGCTTGGGTGTTGGTTTTTCGCAAAAGCAAATACCGTGATTTTTTGGAGGAATTCGATATTGGATTTTCGTGAGTGCTGGTTGCACGTATTGATGGTCGCGATTTTTGTCGGTCTTATTGATCTCGGCAGCTTGACTTCTTGTGCATCTGTTGTTGATAAGGGTCTTTGTTGCACTAGTGAGTACACTATTGTCTTGGTAGCCACAAACGAGCCATTTGTTGAACTGAGCCTCCTTCGATTTCTTTGCTCCATTCCCGCTCGATCTGCTATTCACCCGATTCCGTGCAGGTTTCGCCTCTGCGCGCCGGAAAGGGCCGCCGTTGGATGGCCGCGGATTTATTCGAGGCCCCAGCAGCCGTTTTCACCCCAGCATCAGCCCCACTTCTCCTTGGCACCGACGTCCGGAAGCTCAGCAACTTCCGGGTGCTGCAAAGTAAGCACTTTATCGTATTCGTGGGGTTGAGCAAGTGATTCCTCTTCTCTTCGGTGGGCAGTTCCGCTTCCTCTCCAAAACCAACTTATAGGCTCGAGCGCCCCGAGGGACAGGTCCACTTCAGCTGGTACCGGGTCGAGGGCGCAGCGCAAGAAGTTCAAGAAGAGTAGAAGGTTCGTTTTCTGAATTTGAAATGATTGGGATTTTTTTCAGTAACGGCAGTAGAAGATCGACTGACATGGAGACGATAGGCCATGGCATATCGCACCTATTCAAGGCCGGCCGTCCACACATCAACGGGGACGCGCTGATAGCGCGTGAGCCGAAGGAAAAGGTTTGGCTTTTCAGTAAAACGGGAAATAGGCAATATTTTCAGATGAACGCTCTCGTCATTAATTCTACAGCTCTGTACTTGAAGCGCCTGAAGGGTGATAGGTTCGCGACCTCCACTTTTCTAAATACTTCTTTTAGTAAGCCAAGCCCCTCTGGCGCCCTGGTCGGCTACTCGGATTCCGAGGAATCAGATGATGCCGAAGAGGAGCCGCCGAAGCGACAAAACAGCCTGCCAAAGCTCAACGGCACAACCTCACCGAAGACGGCACAGCCTCGAATGTCAAATGGTCACGCCGAGCCGCCGATTACTCCCAAGGTATTGCTTTAATTTCCAGATTTAATCCGGTGTTTTTTTTTTAGAAAATCAATGGAATTCAAGCACCAGAAACACCACCGGCGAGTCCGGCAACGCCTAATAGCCCAAAGGTATAAAACGCAATTTGCTTAGAAAACACCGTTTTTTTAGAAATTGAACGGGACTGCCGAACGTGTCTATGGCCCACAACTACCACCGCACTTTGTCAAAGCTCAAGCGGCGTCCTGTTCGCGGGAACCGGAAGTGGTACTTTCAATATTTTGGACTGAAAATGTGTTTTGCTTTAGAACGGCGAGTCGGTCCCCAAACGACACAGCCTCGACAGCAAGCTGATGGCCCCACGGTCACTACTGGGCAAGCAGGCAGCAACCAACGGCCACGTCAACCAGAAGCTCGTCTACTCGGCGACGAACGGCAGCTCGAACAAGGAGAACGGGCACGGCAAGCTCACCGAGCGTCCAAATGGGCTATTCCAGCAGAAGCGGCCGCTTGAGCATAAACCAGGTATAATTTTTAAACGCTTTTTGTGTGGGTGGAAGCGAACAGTGTTTAGAAAGAGTCTTTTTTATGTGTGGTTGCTCATTTGATAGAGAATGGCATCCCAGACCTTTCCTGTCTTTCAAAAATTTGAAAAAGGAACCACGAGGAAAAATTTTGTCAAGTTTGCGTTTTGTTACGAATGCCAAAATCAAATGTTGCCGTTTGGTAGCAAATTTTCTCAGAGAAGGTTCTCATTTTGCATGCATTTTCAGAAGGCCCTTCAAACCAGCGACGGCGCCTGCTGTCCGAGCGTGGCGAGGAAGCCCAAAAGCATCCCATCCTGGACCGCGCCGTGATTAGCCACTGGAAGTGGACGAGCCAGAATAGAATTGTGAGTTTCGAGATGGCGCTTTTTTAATTACCCTTTGATTTAGGGCCGCTTCCCGCGCGGTGCCGGTCTCGTCAACCATCGCAACGACTGCTTCATGAATTCCTGCCTGCAGATTGTTGTCCACACGGCGCCGCTGGCCCGCTTCGTCCACGACCACGTCGCAATCTTTCAAACTGGTACGTTTTTTTTTGTTTTTTTTTGGTTGTCTTATGAATTTGCGAGTTTATTTTTGTTTTCAGGATGCCCAAGCCCGTGCCTGCTTTGCATGTTGAAGCGCCAGGTCACCGAGTCTTTCAACTCGTCGCACGCCATCCGCAATCAGATGATGAACGCTTCTAGATGTAAGTGATCAGCAACAGTCCGCTATTCTGATTTTAGTGTTCTTTAAACAACACATCCCTGGGCGGCAAGAGGATGCGCATGAGGCGTTTTTGCACTTGCTGGACGGCATCGACGCTGTCGCGATGCCGGGCGTCAAGTAAAAATATCGCAATTGTCCTACGTTTTCCTTTACAGGCCCGCCTCACGCTCTATCGGCAACGAGAGGTCCAAGTCGACGCCGTCGGAACAAATTTTTGGGATGACGATCCGTTACAGAGGTTAATTTCTAATTTTTTAGTGCCATTGGTTTCTTAGGGGTCTGCCGGCGTTGTCAGCACGAGTCGAACGGGTACGAGCGGATGCGGGTGCTGGAGCTAGGAATGGATAAGGTATCGAAAGTTGTGCCTTTTTCTAAGGCTGTTTTGTTGCGTTTTTGAAAACTTGTCTAATAAGTCTTTTAAAATAAGCTTTTTTAAGTTTACTTTTTCTTTTTGTTTGCTTTAAAGAGAACTTTCTAAAAACCATTTTCTAAAGATCCTTTTAAAATCGCTTGTTTAGTGGAAACAAACGAGCGTCAAGGAGTTGATTGCCCGTTTCTTCCGCACCGAGCAGCTGAACGACTACAAATGTGAAAAGTACGTTTCCGTTTGCGGTTTTAAACGTGGAAAATCAAAAATTCTTTCTGAGACTCATACTTTTGTTTTTATCAAAATTCCGCTTCCAATGCCGTGGTCTTTATTTTATTTTGTGATTTAGGTGTGCTTTCCGCGGCGCCTACTCCAGAACTGCTCAACTGCTACGACCACCGGCCGTGCTCGTCCTCCTCATCCAGCGCTTCTCCGTCCTGCGCAAGGTCCACGAGCGCGTCTTCATGGATGTATGTCTTTTTCTGTTGGCATTCATTACCTCTGATTTAGCACGAGCTCGATCTCGAGAGCCAGCTCGTCGACTGGGGCCAAGATCGTGACATCCACGGGCCGGCGCGCTATCGGCTGCGCGGCATCATCGAGCACCATGGGTATTTTTACGTAGCTTTTGCTGTTATCACTCTTTTAGTTGCACGATCGGCAGCGGACACTACCAGGCCTACCACACCGACGTGACCGGGCAGCAATGGTTCAGCTTCGACGACGAGATTGTTGGTTTTTCGCTTTTATTTTATTACCGGAAGTTTTCTCATTAGCCGCGCGGAAAAAGAAAGGTTTTTGGGATTCCTGCATCTCTAAAATAAAGATCGGCGTATTTTCTCAATTTCTAAACGTGGAATCCACAAGTTTTGCGCAAAAAATCTTGGAAAATCCCGGTCCGCTTATAGATTTTTCTCCCTAAATTCTTAATTTTTAAAAGATATGGAAAACGAGGAAACTATTCCGTTTCTTCCGCCCGTCATGACTCTTTTTTTTTGGGTTTTTTACTATCCTACTATATATAAAAAAATAGTGTCTGTGTGTGTGTTTGTGTGTGTGTGCCACTTTGCATCCACTTCCGTTTGTCTGTCCGGAGGATATCTCAAGAAGGGACGGGTATTAGGCTACGTATGATACGTCATTAGGTGCGTAATGGTCTAGGGATGACTGCACACATACCAGATTTTTGAAAATTAGCCATTTTCGCTATTAAATTTAAGTTTTTGTAAAAACCTCTTTGTTAGGAATAATTAGCATAGAGCGGAAGTGGGTGGTCGCCTATATAAAGAGGCAGAAACGGTTGTTTTGATTTTTTTGTCTTCTGATTGAATGGAGGACAATTATGCAAAGCGAAAAATAGTATGGGGTCCTTACTAGCCACAATAACTTCGTTTTTTTTCAGGTTGGGCGCGCAAGCGAGGCCGACATCCGTCGGACGGCTGACCAAGGCTGCTATCTACTCTCCTACCATCGCGTGTCCCATTGCTGACCGGCGGCCATCTTCACATCGCCTCGTCGATCCTCATCGTCACCGATTTCCAAATTTACCGTACGGGTTTTGCGCTTGGTAGAATTGATCATACGGTTTTCAGGGTTCTAGTTCGTTAGCGGGAGTTTTCGCCCGGATTTTTCTAAATTATCGGTATTTTCAATTCAAAATGTCATGAAAAATTCGACAGGCTTTAACTACCGCTCAAAGTGACGCAGTTCAAAATAGCTTGTAAAAACAGAAGGTATCGACGAAAATCCCCCACCGCTAATGAACCAGAACCCTCTCTCCCTGCCCCGAGCGCCCTTCATATGCTCTTCTGGAATTGTTTCACTGTTTGTTTTGACTAGAATATCGAAATGATTGTTGGCCATCCATCGGGTATTATTGTGATTCTTGCCCTCTCCGTTCTCTTCCCCTCCTTCCCCCCAATGTGCGCTATTTTTTGCGCGTCGTTGTGTTCCCCGCCTGTTTTTCCCTCTTTGTATTACTGTTCCCTCGCCCTTCTATGGAATTGAAAAGTCTATAAGTGTTGCAAAGACTAGATTGGGATTTGATAAACTGTTGATTTGTTTTGTTTGGGCATCTACGCGGGGAAAAAGAGGAATTTTTATTTGTTGTTGGGTCTAGGGTTGAGAAATATGATTTGAATCTACTTCCTCGATTACCAAGCCAACTACCCCTCCTGTAACCCATTCCACCGTTTTCTACTTGCTTTGCTTGGTGGGTTTATTGGAGTTTTTGTGGTACTTTGCTCGGTTTAGGATCTGATTAGCTCGGTTTCAAGCTTAGCTTTAACTGGGACCTTACTTAAGCGTATCCCCGAAATAAGCCTAAACAGGGCAAAAAAAGATGTTTGAAAAGTTAGAAAACAAAATTGCGCCCTTCCAACTTGAATAGCACCGACTTTATGCTCTCGATTTCAGCGATTTTCGGCATCTTCCCGGCGCCGTTGTGCGGCACCGACGATGATGGCACGTCAGGCGAGCGGCAGCGGCGGTGCCTCGAAGATCTGTAACAACAACACCGGCAAGCGCTCCAACTCGGGCAGCAGCAACTCGCCCAACGGATCCAATGATGCAAAGGCGGTAAAACCTGGTACGGCGACTTTCCCCAAAATTTTTAAAGAAAAGGACACGCTGAATTTTGATACTTTAGGCGTCGCGCGGGGGGAACCAACTTATTTTCGGCAGGGCAACCAATTTGCGTATACTTTTCTACATTGTTTTTAGCTATTCTTTAGCATAAAAATCTTACAAACTGAAATGAAAACTAATTTTAAGCTGAAAAATTGATTTTTCGACCCAAAATGGCAAATTTTCGAGTTTTTCAAATATGTTTGTACTTTTTGAAAACTTTTTCTACCTTCAATATCATTAAAACATCCTAAAAACTACATAAAAACATTTTCGATTTGATTACTTGGAAAACCGGGACCGCCGCGAAAAAAGTTGGTCCCCGCCGCGAATCCTAAAGAATCGGAATTGTCAATAAGGTATCATGAAATGAACTCAAGCCGAAAACCATTACGTTTTGCAACGATAACGTTTCAACGGCTTCCGGAAGATCACCCCTTTTAGCCGGAGCCTCCGGAAATCGGCAGCGCTCAAGGCTTGAACCCGCCCAGAAGAAGCCGAGCGGCATCGAGCGCAGCGGAAAACCAGCCGCCACGCCGAAGGGCCGCTCGCAGATGCTCGACGCGAGGTCGAGGCGTATTGCCCAACGTAAAGCTTTTTTTTGGTGATTTTCCAGTTCAAAAATCTACATTGGTTGAGTTACGGTAAAGTGAAATTTAGCCGCTTTTCCAGCGGGTCTTCGGGCCAGAAAAGATGGATGTAAAGTTCTTACGTTTTTTCTTACCTTTCCTTTACTATTCCGAACTTTTATAATGTTGGCTGAACTCCAAGTCCCCCCAGCCGGCCTGCAACTTTTGTAGCTCGGCCGCCTGTTAATCTACAGGCGTGTTAAAGTATACAAAAATGTTCGTCTTGCTCTGGCGAGCATTTTGGTATACTTTACACACCTGTAGATGAACAGGGAGCGGAGACACCGGTTTGCCGGTTTGCTTGCTGTTACAATTAAAATAATAGCATCTTCAGAGATCCTGAAAAAGTCGATGGCGAGACCGTTGGCCGTTCCCGGGCAGCGGAAAAACGGCCAGATGATCAACTTCAACCCCAAACCTTATGTCCCAGAAGGTTTATTTCTTTTTTCCATGTTTTTTCCACGTTTAGATTTACATCGTTTCCATGTTTAGTAGCTGAAAAAAATCGCGAAATTCCAGAGATACCGAGGCTGTGCGGCGGCTCCCAGCTGGACACGGAGAAGCACAGGTAGCTGCAGCGGTACTGGACAGTTAGCGGGGGGAGGCAGAATCCTTATCCATGATATATGTATCTACGATGAGTTTTGGCGTTTTTTAGTGTTTTTCCTGCTTTTTTCACGTCTGAAAATCCATGAAAGATTTGGTACTCGGCTGTTAGCGGGGGGGGGGGGTTATAACAAAAGATAAACATGAGATTTTGCACAGGTATAAACAGGTTCAAAAAGGCATGACAATTTTAGAGCATTTTCGACTAGAAAAACTAGCTAAAACCTTCAAAAATGTTGAAAAAGTGAAAAGTTGGCCCAAAACGGCCACCTTTGGTCGAAAAATCGATACTTATTGTATTTTTTTAATCAAAATTCTTAAGGTTTTGACGCTTAGAAATAGTAAGAAACCGGGTAGAAACACTTCCGCTTTTTATATCTAAAAATCGGTTCGTAAGAAAAAACTTTTCTTCCCCGCTAACAGTACAGTACCCCGCACCGTTCAGCTACATCGTGGCCGGGTCCCTGGGCTGCGGCAGCTTCGGCGAGGTGTGGCTGGTACGCGACCGGAAATCGCAAGAGCTCGTCGCCATGAAGGTCGAGCATATGGGGAGGACCGGGAATGCGATGCGGCTGCACAACGAGGTGCAAATTCTGCAGGACTGCAACAAGGTCGGTTCCGCAAAGGGCCTTCCTTTCCTAGCTAGCTATCTTTTGCAGCAACCCGCCGCCCGCCGGAAGCACTTTCTCAGGTTCATCGACCTCGGCCGCTCGAACAAGCTGTTCCGGCGGTTTCTGGTGATGGAGCTCGCCTCGCTCTCGCTGGCCAAGATCCGCATGCTGGGGCTCAGCGCCACCGCCGACAAGTTCAGGTGATTGCATTCCAGGGTGCTGGATTTTTTAAGATCAATTATTCCGATATATATCGCGGAAGTGTTTCTAAACTGTATTTTACTATCCCTGGCCGTCAAAATTTTAGAAAATTTTATATAAAAAATATAAAAAGTATAGAATTTGGACCAAAAAATTGCCGTATTTGAAGTTTCGCCCGTTTGAAATGGTTTTGAAAGTTTTTAGAAAGTTTTTCTACTTTAGTTTTATGTTGCTAAAACAATCAAGTTCCTAGACATTGCTAGATTACTACAAAAAATTTGCCCCCCCCGATAATGCGAAAGAACCAAATATAAACCATTTTATGACACTTTACACAATTCTTAGGAAAAACCACGCTTTTTGCAGCCCGTCCACCGCTCTGCAGGTCGCCAAGCAGCTGTTGCAAGGGATTTGGGACCTGCACGACGTCGGCTACATCCACCGCGACCTGAAGCTGGAAAATGCGGCCGTCGGGTTCGGAGACCGCGAGAAGATCGTCTACCTGCTCGATTTTGGCATTGGACGGCGGTGGTGCGAGAAGGAGAAAGGACCCGACGGGAAGCACATCCACCGGTAACGCTAGGAAAATGTTGAAGTGCTCTCCTCGATTCAGTTCCTCAAATTCCTCAAAGAATCTCTGCTAGCCTGCCCCCGTCCATCCCCTCCAATTCCTCAAAGAATCTCTGCTAGCCTGCTCCCGTCCATCCCTTCCAATTCCTGAAAGAATCTCTGCTTGTTTGCCCCTCCATTGGCCCGGAAACGTATCCCAACCGTTTCCAAAAGCGCAGCCTTCCAGACGCGAGCGCAAATACGCAAAGCAGATCGGCACGAGGAGATATCTGTCGCGCAACTGCCTTCAAGATAAGGACCAGTCACGACGCGACGATGTTGAGGTGAATAAACTTTTTAAAAGAAACAAAACCGAAATTTTTGACCATTTTTGGCCAATTTTATACATTTTTGACAAAAAATTCTACTCATCTTCGAAACGCATATTTACGAAAATCACTTTTTAAACATTAAAAGTGCTTTTCGGAAATAGGAGTTTCAAAGCTGTGTAGGTCCCTGATTGGAGGGCTAGCAGCGATTATTGGGGAGATTTTCGAAGCCGGATTATTGTTACAGATCTGGCTCTACGTGTTTCTCGATTTGTACCGAGGTCTTACTGGGCGGGTCGAGCCGGGGCTGGCCGGGTGGAAGGTAGAGATGTTCAGCAGCGATCCTGAAGGTGACCGAGAGAGTTTCTTAGGGAATATGGTCGTCGCGAAGGGCCACGCGGCTGAGCCATCCATCGGTTCTTTCCCATTATCGGGGGGGGGACTTTTTTTCCTAGCATCTAATTTCAGGGTGGCCGTACGGATTCCCGAAAGAATTTCACCTGATATGCGTGTGGATCGACGCGCTGCAGTACGCCGATCAGCCGCCATATCAGAGGATTATGGTTTGTTTATCTCTCGCTCGCTCTCTCTTTCACTCACTCTCTCTCTCTGTCTCTCTCTCGCCCTGACTCGTTCTCTCTCTCTCTCGCTCTCTCTTTCACCCACTCACTCTTTCTCTCACTCTCTCTCTCTCTCTCTCTCTCTCTCTCTCTCTCTCTGTTTCTATCGCTTTCCTCTCGCAATTCGGTTCTGGACTGTTAGCGGGGGGAACCAAATTTTTCTCTGTGATTCGCTATGGCCCTATAAAAAAATATGAACCATTTTTATAGTTTTTCACATAGTTTTTAGGTATAAAACACCATAAAAATAATAAAAATTTTCGAAAATTTTTGACTTTTTGATCAAAAAGGTATGAAAATGACTCAAAAAGATAGAAATTGTCGAATTTTCCCCATTTAAAAAGATATTTGATAGTTTTCTAGCCGTTAACCCCCCCCCGCCCCCCCCCCGCTAACAGTCCTATACCAAAGTCATGAAAATGCGTTGCAGGACCACGTGGATCATGTGGCGGCCGTCTACAAGCTGGACATGAACGAGAAGCTCGACTGGGAGGGCAAGATCACCGACGAGCATCGCTACGGAGCCATCAAGAAGACCGTCGAAGAGGAGGCGGAGCGGCGGCGAAAGGCTGAGGAGGAGAAGGGCCTCATCGAGGAGGAGAAGCGCCGCAGCGAGGAGGAGAAGCGCCGCATCCAGGAGGAGAACAAACGCGTCAACGACAGCGAGCCCACCGAGCCCGATGAGCTGGAGAAAAGGTGCGCGTTTGAAGCGGGAGCAATCCCAGAAATGGCCCCTAAACCCTAGAGAACTCGGCTCTGGACTGTTAGCGGGGGGGGGAGGTTGTGGAGAATAGTTTTTTGACGGCTCTGTACCGATAGCACGGGGCAATGACAACAGAACGGGGCATTGGCAACAGAACGGGGCAATGACAGCAGAACGGGGCAAAGCCAGCAGAACGGGGCAATGGCAGCAGAACGGGGCATTGACAGCAGAACGGGGCATTGCCAAGTCCCCGCGGCCGGCGGCCAGCAGAACGGGGCATTGGTTTGGCCAGGGGGACCGGCGGCCAGCAGGACGGGGCATTGCATATTTTCTCAAAAAAAACGTATTTTTATGGTCTCTCGCCTACTTTTTTCTCTGATTATATTTTTTTGGATTCACAGAACTGTTTGTCAACCAGGCCGAACGTTTCTAACTAGGGAAGTCCAAAATACCCCGCAACACGGAGGAATGAGAATTTGTACATTTATAGATGCGACCAGGCTGATAATCGCCTCGATTTCCAAATTTGCTACAGAGCCTAGAAATTTGAGATATTAAAGTTTTGGTGTCATTTTTGGGGCCCCGGAAAAGGGTTTGTCAGGATATCGAACTTTTTTTTCTGTATTTTTCTAGTTATTTGAAGTATCCTAACCGATAGAGTCCTTTTTCTGATTTTTCTGATTGCATGGTATATTTCTTTAATACACGAAGGCCTTTGCGCTATCCTAAGCTGCTTGAATTAGGCTGTTTTTTACCATTTCCATAGTAAAGTCGGAGTCCATACCATGTATCGTCAATTTTTCTATAATCTATCATCAGGGAAAAAGTAGGCGAGAGACCATAAAAATACTTTTTTTTGAGAAAATATGCAATGCCCCGTCCTTCCTTGCCGCCGGCCCCCCTGGCCAAACCAATGCCCCGTTCTGCTGGCCGCCGGCCCCCCTGGCCAAACCAATGCCCCGTTCTGCTGGCCGCCGGCCGCGGGGACTTGGCAATGCCCCGTTCTGCTGTCAATGCCCCGTTCTGCTGCCATTGCCCCGTTCTGCTGGCTATGCCCCGTTCTGCTGTCATTGCCCCGTTCTGTTGCCAATGCCCCGTTCTGTTGTCATTGCCCCGTTCTGTTGTCATTGCCCCGTGCTATCGGTACAGAGCCTTTTTGACTACTAGAAAGTAAAACAAAGTTTTTCAAATTTTGAAAATTCATAAAAGTTGACCTTTTTGGGCCATTTTCATACAATTTTGACCAAATAGTCAAAAATTTTCGAAACTTTTTGTAATTTTTATAGCGTTTTTTTATCTAAAAACTATGTAAGATGATATAAAAATGATCTATATTTTGTTATGGGACCGTAGAGAATCACAGGAAAAATTTGGCCGCCGCCCCCCCCGCTAACAGTCCAGGACCGATAACTCTAGAAAGCGGGAAAGAAGAAGAAGGAGAAGACAAGAAAGAATCAAACCCTTGAGAATTTAGGAGAAAAGATCGGCTCAAGGACGAATTCGGCTGACGTCGTCGCCCCGCGGCCCACCCACCGATTAACCACCCATTATCATCAACAAATGAAGCTTATAACAAACGAAATCATCGATTTACTCGCCCCTTCTTTCACCCACATTGTCTTTTATATTTTGCGTTACCGTTTTTCTTATTTATTAAGACTCATTGGTATTATGGTCAGATCAGAGCTGATGGTGCTCCAACTTTTGTGAATAAATTTTTGACGAAATGGCATTGCTCTCACTCTATCTCTCTCTCTCTCGCTCACTCTCGCACTCGCTCTCTCTCGCCCTCTCTCTTTTTCTCACTCTCGCCCGCACTCTCTCAATCTGCTTCTCTCTCCCTCGCTCTCTCTCTCTCTCTCTCTCTCTCTCTCTCTCTCTCTAACTTTCCCGCTAAATTTCAAAGCGAGCAAAACTTGCAAATTTCACAACGGTTTATTTAATCGAAAAATGTGAGACGTGGCTGACAGGTTATCACCATCAGTTATCAATAACAGCGACGAAAAAATTCTCCATGCCGTAGAAAACGTTGTCCGACAATAGAAAGGCGGCGAGAAATTCTGAAAAAAATTCTTTAAAAATTTCGAAATCCACGATTTCGAATGACCTAATGTCGAACTAAAAAGAGATTCTTTAAAAAAAGGGTTTTTGGGTTCGAAAAAAGAGCGAGATTCTCTGATGCAGCAAAAAGCGTCAAATTCCCTAACCTCCGAAACATGAGAAAATTTTCCCGGAAATCTCCCAAATCCCATGCTAAAAAAATCTCGGCGCTCTAAATTTAGGCATTATCAAATTTCGACATTCGGAAATTTCGACCTTACGGAATTTCGACATTACAATTGCAAATTGAAAATAAGAAGCGGACTGGCATTCATCTAGCAGGCCAAAAACGATTATCAATTCCCACCTTTCCCATAGACATTGATACGGCAAAAGTGGCGAAGGAGGGTCGGCTCGGAAACCTGGAAAATGCGGTCATTGTTGCTGGCCGGAGTCTCCCGGGTCTGGAGCGTACTTTGAATTTTAAAATACGAACGTTTGTAGCGTGGCAACTCGTAGCGCTTACCGTTTTTATTCGTTTCATCATCCATCCTTCCAGAATTTTCACGTGCTCCGTCTCGCGCACCAACGTCATCTGGCCGTTGTGCAGGCGATTAAGGCGTTGTTCGAATGCTTGCTGTAAGGGTTGGTGGTCGAGGCCTGATCGACAATCGTCCGAAGCTGCCTTTTTCAAGCGGTGCGACCGATTAGACGGTTTTCGAGCGGTGTCCGTCGACCAGGTGATTTTACGATTAGGTGATCGGGAATGCGAGAGATGCGCGTATGATTAGGGATAGAGAGAGAGAGAGAGAGAGAGAGAGAGAGAGTGAGATAAATAAAGTTTCGAGCAATGGTAAAACGGGGTTGCGCACGGCGGGAGTTGAGCCCGCGACCTCCTGTTTTGCGTACAGGTGCACTTCCGCTGAGCTACACGCGTCCCGAATCACCATCGCTCGAGACCGAGGATGAGGGAAGGGATGGGCTGATTCACGCCATGGTGCTCAGCCGTTTCCGGGGGGCTTTCCCCTTCCCTTGCCAATCCTTTACAGAGAGAGAGAGAGAGCGAGCGAGCGAGAGAGAGAGAAAGAGAGAGAGAGAGAGAGAGAGAGAGAGATACCCTGATGACCCTACCAAAAACGCTTCCAGATCCCAGGAGTTGTCCTTTTGTATTCCGGATACCTCATGGACACGTCCGCATAGCCGTGGTCGCGTTGGGCAAAGTGCCAACTGAAAAATGCCTCACTCAATGTACAGGGTAGACCTCCCGAACCCCCCCTTCAGAGGCGCTCCAACCCTCCTAAAAAACCCCTCCCAATGATGCGGTAGGCACATACATCGATTAGGTTGGCGATTCCGTCCGGGCTAAAGTCGCAAATATCAGTAAACGCGACCGGCGCTGACCAGCCTCGCTTCTGGATCTTCATTGGGTAACATTTGGCCCACACTGACTCGCACACTCCGCAATCCCATGGGGCTGCTTTTCCATATCGCTAAAGAACAGTGTAGTCTTAGAATTTACCTGTGCGGACACGTGGAAATGTGGCAAGGTATCACCGGTGCTAGTCTCTTAGCGGAGGGGGCTATGCCTGCCCCCTCCATCCCCTCCAATTCCTCAAAGAATCTCTGCTAGCCTGCCCCTCCATCCCCTCCAATTCCTCAAAGAATCTCTGCTAGCCTGCCCCTCCATCCCCTCCAATTCCTCAAAGAATCTCTGCTAGCCTGCCCCCTCCATCCCCTCCAATTCCTCAAAGAATCTCTGCTAGCCTGCCCCTCCATCCCCTCCAATTCCTCAAAGAATCTCTGCTAGCCTGCCCCTTCATCCCCTCCAAATTCCGCAAAGAATCTCCGCTAGCCGGCTGGCTGCAAATGAGTTGTTGTTTAAGTTTGGAAAGGAAAAATTCCGAAAGAATCGAAAAAATACGATTTTTTGCCGAAAATTCGCAAAAATGGCCTAAAAATCAGCAAAATCGGGGCTGATCCGGACCCAACGGGCCCGGCCCGGATCTCGAAATCCAGGCCCGGGCCCGCCGCACCTTGGGCCCGGCCCGTTGTCAAGGCCTGGTTTCGAGATATGTAATTGAGATACTCACCCTCCAGCATTCGATACACCGCACGCGATCGCCGGGCTAAACGAATTTTCATTTTGCGTAGCCTTACGGGGAACAGGTATCGGTTGCTTAGGGGGCGGGGGGAATGAATCGGAGGCACAAATTTTGCATTCCAAAAAAATTTCCTGTTGTTTTGAAACTGTCATCGGGAAGGCCGGACAGACGGAGACCCCCCATAGCCGAAATCCCCTTAAAAACAAAAATACGGACCGACCGGATACGTGGGAGAAATAAAAAAAAATGAAATGGCCCCGGTGAAAATGTTCATCCACGAAACGCGCGCCACCTGGCTCACTATGTCCAAAATACCCCAACCTCCGCGCCCCACCCATTTTACCAAGGAAAAACTTTCAAAGTTAATTTTAATAATTTAAACTAAAACTTTTTCATAATTTTTCTGATCAGTTTGGGGGTTTCTGACCACGCTCTATCTGAATCCGAAGAGACCTAAGCTCCAGCTCCTTCGCCCTTCGAGTTGAATCCGGGAGATGAGGGACGGACGGACAGACACCACTATCTTTTTATTGTAGTTGATTATGTATTTCTATAGTGTCAGTAGTTTTTGATTGCTAGCGAGTCATAATAAATGTTTTTTTAAATCTGAAAATTCAAAAATTTGGACCGTTTTGGTCATTTTTCAGCCATTTAAGACCAAAAAGTCAACAATTTTCGTAAATGTTTATAATTTTTTTATATTGTTTTTATATCCAAAAACTATGTAAAATGCTATAAAAATGGTTTATATTTTTCATAGGGTCGTAGAGGATCACAGGGAAGAATTGGGTCCCCCCCCACCGCTAAAATCCCCCGCCTCACCCCCCGGTAAGGGACTTTTACCGAAACCCCGCGCTTCATCCACACGGGGGTTGCACTAAGTCTTACCTCAGCGAATTCCTCGCGAATTCTGCTCCGGTCGTCCGCTATCTGAATGAGTTTTTTGCTTTGATGGTTCTTTCGCATTAGCGGGGAATTTTTTCAATTAGGAACCAATGGGCGTCAAAATTCGAAATGGGGGTACAATTCGGATAGGCGGGGGGGGAAGACTAGCGTTTAGTATGCGGCCAAGGGGCCCGCGAGAGAACGGGGGGCGGGGCCAGAGCGCAGACCCTCCCATGCGTGTCTACCATCCTGTCCCGGACACGAACACCAATGGATAATTATTTTCAGTTATGATCTATTATTCGCTATTAATTCACTTTTTTAACGCGCTTTCATCTTCAATTTTCAGGTATTCGGCAGTTGTGTGTGGAAATTATTTTGTATGATATACCACGAGTTTTGTCAAAATTCTTGTGAAATTTTTTGTTGGCGGTTAAAAGTGGATTTTTAATCATGGCTGTGATATATTTTTGATTGTCGATATAAAAATTTTCATTAGTCATTTTGTTTTTGTGTGCTAACTGGTCGATAACTCGGCGATTTTCAAACCCAGAGTAAAATTTGAGGTGTAGTAGGGAACATGTCGAGCGCGGCGAAAACAGACCGCAACTTCTCCCTCCCCCCCGCCTATCCGAATTGTACCGAAATGGGCCTCCGAACCCCCTATATGCAAATGAGGACATTTCCATTGGTTTTAAAAACAATAAAATAAGGCAAAAATGTCATTTTCTTAAAAATCCGATAAGTGTGCAGTAGCCTACGCCTTCGATTACCCCTAAATACCGTTCGACCGGGCCTCAAAAATTTTTTCCCCCTTCGGTAACCCGGTTTTTTCGAGCCATTTATGCAAATGTCCACACACAAACACTATTTTCTTTATATACCAGCGTTGAAAAGCCGCTTCGCGACTTTTCAACCCTCGAGCCGTCTAATTCCCATAATATTCTTCCCTTTGCATAATTCGTCCGAACTGCGATGCGAAGCACTGAGAAGTGCTCCCTCACTCCCATTAAATAGGCTCTCGCCACTTCCGGCGTATGCTAATTATTTCCTAACACAGCGTTCGCCCGATTTTTCAACAAAAACTTAATTTTAACGTCGAAAATAGCATAAATTGCAAAATCTGGTATGCGTGCAGTCATCTCGATGCCATTACGCACCTAATGGCGTCTGATACGTCGCTTAAAACCCCTTCCCCTCTTGAGTTATCCTCCGGACACGGTGACGGAAGTTGCATGCAAATGCACACTGACACACAAACACTACTTTTTTATATGTAGTAGGATAGTAGGATAGCGGTGCTAAATCCCAAATCCCCACTCAGCGAGGCGGAAAGCCATTGAAATGCGGCCAAAACCAAATTTCGACAAAACGGAATTTCGGCATATGCAAATAAGCCCACCCACCCATCCAAACAGGAACTGGTCGGAGTGCCAACCGCTGGCCTGCATTTTCCGAAACATGTCAAAAGCCGACACGTCCCGGCCGTGCATGAGGAAAAGGTGATCGATGGCGCAGACGTTGCGAAAAAACGAGCGCACCTGAAATGTTTTCGCGGTAATGCGGCGTGTCCAAATAATGCTCCCTCGGCATTTGGAAAAAAATATAAATCATTTTTATAGCATCATCCATTGGTTCTTGTGTATTCCCGGTGGGGGGGCTGAACTGAACTTTTTTTTGGCCCAAGCCTAGATTTTTTATATAAACCAGGGTCGAAAAGCCGCTTCGCGACTTTTCAACCCTGGCCCCATCTGATCCCATTTTATCCTCCACTTTGCATACTTGTCCTGAATTCAGATGGCAAAAAATGAAAAATAACCTCTCTCATCCCGTTATATAGTCGACTCCCCACTTCCGGTCTATGCTAATTTTTCCTAACAAAGGAGTTTTCACAAAAACTAAAATTTAATGTCGAAAATCGATAGTTTTGTAAAATCTGATCTGTGTGCAGTCATCCCAAGGCCATTACGCACCTAATGACGTATCATACGTAGCCTAATACCCATCCCTTCTTGAGATATCCTCCGGACAGACATCCGGAAGTGGATGCAAAGTGGCACACACACACAGACACACACACACACAGACACTATTTTTTTATATATAGTAGGATAGTGGAAGTGTTTCTAAATTGTTTATAACTATTCCTAAACATAAAAACTTTACAAAATTTAATTAAAAAATTTAATTTTAGGTCGAAAAATCGATTTTTTCGGTCCAAAAATGACCAAATTTTCGACTTTTTCAAGCGTTTTTCTAACTTTTTAAAAAGTTTTTCCGATTCAAATAGGCTTAAATTTTGCTAAAAACAATGTAAAAACACTTTATATTTGATTACTATCCCCACCAGGCCCGACAAAAAAAAGTTGGTTTCCCCCGCGAATTCTTTCCCCCCGGGAATACACAAGTACCCATCCATTTACTGATCAATAATACCTAACCAATCCGGTCAAATCATTTAATTAGTGAAACTGACGTCGTAGAGCGGCGCATCGGCGACGACTTGGGGTGTGAAGCGTTGGATATCGTCGACGTCTCGACTAGTAATGTAGAACTAAAAAACGCCCCAATGGCAAGTGTTTGATTTTTGGCCTACCAGGGGCCACTGCCGATTCGTGAACATCAGCTGCGCGTACGAACTGACCATAGCTCGCCGTAGTTTGGAAAGCAACGCCAGCAATTTGTGGAGCGGAAGTGTGAATGCTCTGAAAGAGGGTTGTCAGCAATCGCTATTCGTACAGATCCGTACACTACCCCCTCCTGCTAAAATCCCTGCCCCCGCTAACAGCCCAGAACCGAACATAGGATTATCGAAATTTGATTATATCAAAATTTCATTTTGTTAAAATATCATTTTGTGAAGTAATTTAGTAGAAATTTGGTTTTATCGCAATTTCCTTGTGTCGAAATTTGCTTTTGCCGCTATTTGATTTTGTCGAAATTTCCTTTTGCGAAAATCGGGACAAAAAGGCATTGAACTTTCGACTGCAAAATGATTTTCGACCAAATGAAAATAGGCCCTTTTCCGGGTCTGAAAAGGGGCAGCGCCAAAATAGGGGGGAAAATCGGTGGTTACCTGAAATTCTCGACACTGTTGCAACACGCGACCGTGTCTGGGCTTAGGTTTTCGCTTTCAATATGTAGATACCACCGGTGCGAATCCTCGATTCGAATCCCCATCGCGTGCACCAACCACTGGAATGGAAACTACCATAGCTGAAGAAAAAAATCAAGAATGATAGCTGCAGGACACTAAAGACGAAAAATTACTCACAAGGAGTTTTATAATGACAATCGAGTTTCTGTACGGGACCAATCCTAACTTCTACAGAAATTGGCGCTGATTCCGAGCCTATGTTCAAAATCTGCGAAACGATCGGATCGAAAAAAAGGGTTTTATGGAGAAAAAGGCAAAAAAAAAGTTCCGAAATTGGACCGTTTTGGGCCTTTTTCGCACTGCAAACCTTCATAACTTTTTGGTTCTTACATTTCGTAGATTTTGAAACCAGGCTCAGAATCAGCGCAAAATTCGCACCAGCGAACGTAAGCGTACGGAAAGTCGATAGTCGCTAAAAACGTCTCCTTGTCAGTTCCTTTCACGGGCTATACCTTATCATCGTCATTCGCATCCACCACCGACCCGGGCCTGGGCGTATGGGCGCAGATCTGAAGCTCCATCATGCGTCGCGGAAATAGGCCTCGTTCGTTGATGGCACGTCTCAAAAGTTTCTTGATTCTCCGAAGCACCTTTTATTTTGGAAATTAATGGATACCTGAACGTCTTGTTGACGCGTTGCAAACTGATCAAATCGCGGAAGCCCATTCGATCGATGACGACGGAGAGGAGCGCATCTGGGAGATGGCCAGTCGGGAACATCACTGGGATCCCTACGAAAGATATGCCACTCTATATACAAAATAGTGTTTCAGTGTGCGCAAGAAACGTAGCTTTTGACGGATTTCAAACTTCAAATGTTAGCAAAAATGAAAAGGAGGCCACGATTTTTTTATCAAACCCTCTGTATGTCTACCCTTTCCATCTGCACATCTGCGTGAGGCGCACCAATCATTGCGCATTTCCGCATTAATGTACACACATGACCCCCATGCCTCTGACCTCGGTTAGATTATTTTTTTAAATAATAGAAAAAAAGGAAAGCTTGGAAATCAAAATCCGCCCATCCGGCCTGATAAGAAATCGTGGCCTTGGTGACTGGATCCCCCCATTCTACCTGCACTTTGCATAATTATCCTGCATTCACATGACAAAAAATGAAAACCACCCCTTCTACTCTTTATACAGACGACCCCCACTTCCGGTCTATGTTAATTATTTTCTAGCAAAGAATGTTCTACAAAAACTTAAATTTAATCTCGAAAACGGGTTATTTTGAAAAAGGGATATGTGTGCAGTCATCGCAAGGCCATTACGCACCTAATGACGTATCGTACTTTACCCTTAACTCCTTCCCCTATGGAGATACTACTGTAACAACGATACGGAAGCAGTGCATGCAAAGTGAAGCATGCAAAGTGGCACACACATACACTACTTTTTTATATACAGGGTGTCCCAATAAAAAAGGTCACGCTGGTATTTTGTCATTTCAAATCCGAACGACCTGAAATTTGGAACAGAGCTGCGGAAGGGGATTTAAAATGTTCACAAAAACTTTCAGCCCGATCGGTACAGTAGTTTTCGAGTTATAGCAATGTTATTTAGTTATTTAGTTATTTTATTCAGATTTTGGACACTTCTTCTCGAAATTGCGCCCGCCACCGCTACGCGACGCACCGTGAAACGGACGAGAACGGTGCGCATTTGCGTGAAACTTCCAATTTCCTCCAACTTTTTTCTTTTTTTGCCACCCGTTTTTACTTTGCGATTTCCCGCTTTTTATTTATCAAAATCTCTTTTCTTTTTTTTTCCCATCTACGTTCCTTTTTCTCGGCGGACGCGCTGAGCTATAAATTATTGGGCGCTATTTCGGGATCCGGGCCCCAGTCAAATCTTGACTTTTTCTAGCGCAGTCATGTGCGCTGATTTCGAAAAAACTATCCCAAACCGCGAAAGTTCCGTTCTTGGGATGCCGGTTTTGGGTTTGGGTGTGTTTTTGGTTTTTGGGCCCGGATGCCGAAATAGCGCGAAATCGTGGAAAATCAAACTGGACCCGCGAAACCTAAATAGCACCGCTTTTCATTTTGCACCGTCGCCGCAGCCCGACCGCTCTTGTGCTATTTTGCCCCTGATACTATCCTGGGGGGTTTGCACCTATGCGTCCCGCTGCTTTTCATCATACATGATTTTCTGGCTTACTTCCTGCACGGTATTTCCTTCTACGTAAGAGGTGCAAATTCTTTTCGAATTTCTGTCTTTTCTCTTTGTCTCTAATACTCTATACAATCTTTTCAGATAAAGCTCGGATGGAGGCACGAAGGAAGCATAAGCTGCCGATGGATGACCTCGACTACAACAGCCCGGACGGCATCAAGAAGATGATGAAGTCCGTGACCTATCACGGTCTCCAGCAAGTTGGCTTTTTGGCTTTGCATTAATTTGCTTTTAGATTTTGAAGTGGAGGGGAATCGTGCCGATGCGCTACTTCAAGAAGCAACACCTGATGACCGGCGGCCCAGCCGGAAGCGTCACCGGCTACACGCTGAAGCCGTCGGATGAGGCAGAAGAAACAAACAACGTCTGCAGGCGCTTCCGCGAGAAGATGAAGGGCCTCTCGCAAGTCATTGACGACGAAGTGCTACAGGTTTTTGAACGTACGGTTTTATTTTATCGAATTTAGGAAGCTAGCCTCGTGATCTCCACCAACAGGCAGGATATCTACGATGCAGCCGAAGTCTACACGTTCACCTTCCGTTACGGCGATGAGTCGGCAATGGAAATGAGGTGAAATTGTTTACTTTGATTGGAATTGCTATTTTTTAGTAACAGCGCTGGCGGATCTACTGGTGTGGGCGTCGGAGCCAAATCCGAGGACGTTGCGAAGTTTATGTTCGACTTGATGATCCTCTGCCAATCTACCAACGCGCTCCCGAACCCGATTGGGACCCTGCAGCTGCGGCTAGTTGGACCACAGGGTGGGTTTTGATCTGAAATAGTTGTTGCTATCTTTTTGGAATAAACTGAATTTTTTTCAGAACAGCTCAACTTCGCGCTCAACCACTACACTGAGCAGCCGACCCCTTACAAGTTCGACCACCCGCATGTGCTCGACAACTTCCAACTCGGGCAGTTACGCGCAGAGGGTGCAACGTAAGGAAAGCTCTTATTGGCTTCGATAAATTCACATTTCAGGCTTGGTCTAAACCTGCGCAGCTGCCAAGTGACCGACAAAATCGAATTGGAGTCCCGGATGAAACGCCAGCACGATGAACGGCTCAGCAACGTCAATTCTACCATGGGCTCCGTCGACATCCAGCGAACTATCGCTCAGGTGCGAATTTTAGCGTTTTTTTTCATTGTTTTTTTTAGTCGCAGTTCGACGGCATCCAAGTTCTCTCGCCTGCGTTGAAGAAGTTTGCCATCAGCAACCCAGCCGCCGATGGTAAGAAGATTTTTGACAGTTTTTCACTATTTATTTATTTTTCTAGATGGCGCGACGACTACCTACACCGGAACGGCCTCCCGTCGCAGCGCCGGCAGCAACGACTCGCAGCCCAAGCAACGCAGCCGCCGCTCGCTGCGTGCCAAATGAATCTGTGGTTATTTATTGTTGTGATTTGTCTTTTTTAATTTTCTGTGAAATATAACCTTGTAACCCATTTCTATTGTTGCCTCGCTTGTATAAACAATTTTCCCGTTTTTTTACTGTCATTGTTTCCAAGCAGCGTTTCGACGCCTTGATTATCGACCGGTCAATCGAATTCCATTGGTCGGCATGATTTTTTTTCGTTGGGCTCGCCGTGATAGCGCTTTCCTGTTCCTAGCCCCGCACGCTGCATTCTTGTTCAGCGCACCTGCCGAAAAAGCACCGTAACCGCCCGGGGTTTCAGTGTGTCAGAAAATAGCTCTGCTTTTAGGCCAAGACGGATAGTAAGTAAAAAATTATGTGAAATTTCCTCTTTTTGCTTGGTTTCGGCGGTTAGAAATCGTGTGCAACATTGATTTCGCAATTTTCGGACTGATTGTTGGATTTTGGACACTGGATGCGTAAAAAACAAGCGTTCACTCGGCCGCCGCCATGGCCAAAACAGCATGTTTTTCATCTATCATCGATGACATGTTAAAACTAGCTATATAAAAGCTTCGAAGCTATGATATATGAATTGGGAGCAGGAAATTATGTAGAATAGCGCGACTAGCCAGCTCTGCGCCCGCGTGTCGCCGCTTTACTTTGCGAAACTTCTTTTCCCATTCTTCCTTGTTCAAAATTGATGCGAGGATTGCTTTATTTTATCATTTTTTTTGCAGCAATGGCAGCATCCTTCGAAGAGTTGAGCAACCTGACGAACGAGGAGCTGTGCTCGGCGCTGAAGGAGGCGGGAATCACGCACGGGGCTGTCGGGGAGACTACGCGCAAAATCTACATCAACCGGCTGATGAAGCACTTAGGCCAGGATGTCTCGACACTGGTCGACTCGAACACGCCGGTCGCGTCGCGTAGATCTGATACGTCACCGAAGCAATTGACGCCGACTCGGTACGCTTCTGGGTTTTTTTTGTTATGGGAGCTTTTAATTATTGAAATTCAAAAATTACTGCTCCCCGCTGACACAGCAACATCGAAATTTTCTTTTGATTTTGGTCTGAAACCATGGCAATTCCTTTTTTCCAGCGAACGAGGCAGCCCGACGAACAGCTCTACGCGATTGTATCCAGATCTCTCGCCCTCGTTGAAACACCGCTCGGGCACGGCCAGGTCGCCTTCAGAGGAGGAGAACGATCTGGAAAGCGATCAAGAAATGCACGGCGAAGAGAGCTTCCGCGTCATTCGTACCACCGACTCGCGAGCCGCACAGGCGGGCGGCTTCTCGTTCGGCCGGCTCTTCTTCTGGATCATCCTGCTGAGCATCATCGCCGTGTTCGTCTACTACTTTGCCATGAACGTGGAGAAGCTCAACGCCGCCCGCAGCAACCAGGACGAAATCTAAACGCCAGACCGAAATTCTCTTTCCGCCCCCTATTTATCTGTTGTGAAATTGTGCGTCCATATCCCATTCAACAAGCATTTTGTCCGTGTCCCCCCAAGATTGTGCTCACTCCCTTACAGTCACCGTGTCCCGTTTATCTTTATGGATTACCCCAGTTTTCATTGATTTGCTCGTCATTTTTCATTCGTACACACCCGGTCGAAATTTCATCATAAATAGACTTGACTTTGCGATGTTTGAAACTTGGATTCCAACAGTCGGCCGACTGTGTTATACTTGCATACCGAGAAGTTCGTCATGCTTTCGTTTTTTGAATTTGGGAGCGTAGCTTTTTTCGAAGCTTTTACTAACATCGGGCTTATTCTTTGGATCTGTTTACGGCGTCGGTCAACATCCTAAGCGAAATATTAGCTTTGAGACAAGCCTAGTGTTGCCGAAACCTTGCTGTCTAAATTAGTTGACCGAAAAAATGGCAGAACGCCAAGTGGCCCCTCCAGTTTGCATAGTATTCCTTATTCTGGGAACAAGGATTTTGATTGTCGAGTATAGCGCGTGAATTTCAGAGTCGGCCAGCGTGATGGTCTTGGCCCGGATACAAAAAGTACCGCTCAAAATATGGGAGCACAAAAAGAAGTCGGCCGTCGCCGTCGGCTTACTCTACTGGGCAGGAAGGTATGAATTTGTAGTCGCGTTAAGATAATGACATTTTTTGCAGTTGGGTCGAACGCCGTTTCCGGAACAGTCGGCTACGCGCGCTTTACGCGGCCGAGGCATTGAAGTTCGGCGAACAACCAATCTCAGCAGAAGACCGGTGTCGTCGCGTCCTCGTCCTTGCCAACGTTCACGCGAATGAGCGCAGCAGCTACGACGATTTCAAAGAAAATGCCCTCCCACTACTCCACCTGGCTGGTTTGCAGGTATTCACCATTGACACTTTTCTAGCTCCTAGTTTAGGTTAACATTATCAAGGCGGAATCTGAGGCCCAGTTGGAAGCGTTGGCCGCGGCCGTGGACCACGAAGAAGCGGACGCCCTGTATGTCGTCGGCGGCGATGCGACGATTGGCAAGGTGTTGACGGGCATGCTGAGAAAACGCGAAAACGTCATTCTGCCGATAGGTTCGTGATTCTCTGCGCTCTTGAATTCCCTTCCTAGGCGTGTTTCCGGCCGGCTACGACAACTTGACGCTGAAGCGGCTCGTTCCTGAAGTTTTTCGGCAAGAAGAGGATATACGAGCGCAATGTGAGAGTGCGATGGCCCTGGTCGAGAATATACGACGACCGGTCCGCCCTTTCAAGGTAATTCTGTTTCCCGGAAGCCGTAGTGCTTTGTTTTAGGTTGAAATAGATGGTTCGGTGGAGAAGCCCATATTTTCGATTGGCGATGTCGGCGCCGGTTGGTTCCGCCACATTGAAGATCGGCGCAAGAAGCTATGGTATTTCGGCAGGTTGAAGCGAAGATGGGCGTATGGCTGGGAAATGTTGAAGCGATCGCCGGAGCAGATGGAAGTGCAGGTATCTTTTTGTGTTCAAATTTTGGAAACTGAGCCACTTTTTTTGATAAAAATTTCTTTTGTCTTTTCTGGACATAAAAATTCCCTTCGCCTACCTTGTAATCGCAGTTTTAGGCTGTTTGGCACCTAGGAGGCCGGTAGAATTGTCAGAAAAACCATCATTCAGCGAATAACTTTGCGAAAAATTCGACAACATTCCTTTGCCTAATTTGCTTTCTAGATCGATTGGGAAGAATACTGCTCCGGCTGCAACAAGTGTCGCGAAGCGCCCCCCTCGGTCATCGTCCCCTGGCGATGGTGGCACATGTTCACCGGCGCACCACGCTTCGTCCACGACCAGCCCAAGAAGGACTTCTCCGGCATCGTCAATGAAAATTGCGGCCTCACGCATAGCACAACGGTAAATTCAAGGCGTACAACTTGTATTCCGCTTTAGGCAACTGGGAGTGAGCTCATCCTGTCCGGCGTGCAAGAAAATGACGATGAGCGGATGCGGCTTCGGATGCGCGTCGGAGGCACGGGCAGCCGCCTGGACACGATTCGGGAAGGCTGGAAGAGGGCGGCCGCGGACCTGGTTGGTTTTTACCGGCCTTGTCGTTTTTGCGCTGGAACTGGCTTTCTGATTTTCTCAAATCTGTCGAGCTGGTAGTTTTATCCAAATTCCCTATTTTTATCATGAAAATTGCGTCAGAACCCGTTTTTGCAGTCCAGAATTATAGGAAAAGAGCACATTTTGATGATGCTTTTGATCAAGGCCAGCTCTGGTTTGCTGAATGTTTCTAAACTCGGTTAAACGGTCCGTTCCAGGTCCACGAATCCAACACCGAGAACTTCTACGCGGCCGACGTTTTCGGGCGCGCCTTCCAGTTCCAATTCAACCGGATACCCGAGTTCGTGCGGCGCCTCTACGTGTCTTCAGACGCAACGAAGGAAGAGGTGGAAGAAGGCAAAACTCGTTTCAACATCCGCGCCCTCGACAACAAAATCGAATTCTTCCTGCCGAACCGCTTACGTTTTGATGCGACTGTTTGACTTGTGATCTACTTGTATAATTTGTCTTTCCACCTAGTAGTCATCTGCCTAGTTAGTGCCTAGTCTAGAAGCTGTTTTATCCTAATTTCCTGATGTATCGTTTTCTTTACGGGTCTTTCGTTGCACCTCGGAAATGTGCTTCGATGAATAAACATTTTGTTTCACGAGCTCGTATCTTTGGATTATTGCGGTTATGTGAACCGAATTGCTGCCGTTTTTCTCGTGCAATGTGACTCTGAGGGATTTTTTTTGTGTGCTATAGGTTGGCCTCGACGGATGGGCAAATTTCGGCATCGCATAGGGCCGTCACGCGGCACGAAACTTCAGCGTGGACACATGTGAGTTATCTGGCTTTTGAGCTAGCGGCGATCGGCGTATCCTGGTGAATTTGTGCTAATTTTCACGTTTAGTAACGACAGCAACCCGGTGAAAAGACGGCATCGTGATGCTGCGAACTCGGCTCGACGGGCGGAGCTTGTGCCCCTCGTCCCCGTCGACGAGCTCGAGGACTACGGCCAAGAAGGCGATGAAAAGATGCTCGACGGCTTGAACATGGTATGCAACTTGCTGGGAATTTTTGCCGACCAAGACGACAGTGTATTATTAATTTGTTTTATTTTAGGACAGCATGTCGTTGGGAAACCCATTTCCCTCGAGCGCGGCGTCGATGATCTCTGAGGGCGGCATGTCGAAGATGACGCGCTACACTGGCTTCACGAGCTGCACGAACCAAACTTTCGCGGCGGTGCACCGCGTCTGGAAGTCCGGCTCGACCCTGCAGAAGGAGGTCCTGGCCGTTCTTTCCGCGGTGGCCGAGGTTATTAAAGAAAAACAGGGTATGTCTCACTTTTCGCTTTCCTCTACATATTTCCTTTTAGGCAACGAATCGGACGTAGAGTATTTTGGCGCGCTGCTGACGACGCTCGAGTCGACGCCTGCCTCAGTAAGCCCTTTCTCCGAGCCGATTATCCTTATTTCCAGGAAATCGATCGTTCCGCCGCGACAACTTATCTGCTACATTTGATCGTGAAGAAGGTTTCCCGCGAAGTGCTCCAACGGAATTTCAGCGAAACGGTGAAGGTAAGGTCTTGAAATAGCTTCCTTGAATGTACCCCGGTTTTCAGATCCTCGCCCAGGCGCTGATGCAGATGACCGGCGACGAGCAAGATGGCGTCGCTTGCAAATTTCTGATAATGACGCTCGGCGTGGTGCTCCGAGCCCAGCCGAGCACCGTCTGGCTGATACAAGGAAATCGGTATATTTCTACGATTTGAAGAAGAGATGGTATTTCTTTTCTAGCGACCTCGTGATGCTCATAGCATCGTTCTGCACCCATTCAAAGCCTCGTGTGCGAACCGTCGCTCGTCGGGTGGTCAGGTGAGCTGTGAATCGTTGCCATTACAACTCTGTTTTAGGGGTCTACTCACCGATCCCGTTTCGGCCGTGGACAATGGTTTGCACGCTGCGGCTGGCCAGGTCGGGGAATATGTTGACGAGCAAATTCGGGCCTGCTTGGGTGAGTTTTAGTTTTTCTTCCTGACAAACCCGGTTTAGACAGCAAGCAAGACTCGGCCGACCTGATCCGCTACTTCTGCCTTCTCGAGGGCATCATGCACAAGATGCCGGCCCGGATCTTCAAGCAGCTCGCCGAGGGAATTTTGAAAAGTGTGGCACTGGCCAACTCGCAGGTAATTTGCCCATTTCTAGGCTAATTTTGGGCACCTAGGTGAAATGCGCGGCACTGCAATGCCTCTACCGAGCCCTGCTACAACAACCATCCGAGGCGGCACTCTCCGTGGAAATCAACGCACTTTTGGTGGGTTTGCGGAGTCTGAAAAGGATCGTCGCAGAACGATAGTTATGTCTTTCGCAAGCCCTGAAACCAGCGAGTTTGCTTCGATCTTCATAACCATGTTTTAGCAAAACCCGTAATTTTTAGCTTTTTTAAAACGTGAATAAACCGCTTCTGCATCTGATGAGCGGCAACTTTCGGTCGTGTTATTGTTGAAATTGAGACAAAAGTAATATTATGAATAATATGAAATTTTCAAAAAAAATGGCTTTTAAAATTTTCCTGTTAGAAAACAATGGTTGTGATTGTGGAGGTAAACTCGCGGTTTCAAGCGCTTACAAATGGTATAACTAACGCTCCGACTCTATCATTCCTGGTCGAGTTAGCGGGGGTGTGTTTTATTGGGGTGCCCTGCAGATCGGCTGACCATATTTTCATTTTTAGATATCCTCCCTGCGCTCGCTGGCCACATCGCCGTCTGATGCGCCCGTCTGCGCTTTCTGGCTGCAGGCTCTCGTCGAGGCGCACGTATGTCTGACGTGCAAGGACAAGCGCCGATCGTGTGAATTGCTGCCCGAGACGCTCGAGGAGATTACCAAGGCCTTCCAGGTGACGAACAACGAGCTGTGCCAGGTCATCGTCCAGGTTGGCCTCCATTTCCAGGTGTAATTCGGTTATTTAGGTGCTCAACCGCGTCATCGAGCGCTGTATCGAAGACGAGGCCGAGGCGGCGCGGAAGTTGCTCGCCCTGCTTGAAGCGTCACTAACCGGCTTCTCGGCAACGATCTGGAAGTACATCTTCAAGTCGATGACGTACCTTTTCCAGGTGAGAGTTTTGCACTTACTAGGGAAGTATCTGAACTTGCCATCGAACCTTTAGAAGTCAGATACACCATTAGACGCGCCGTAGCGCGAGGATTCCAAATATGTAATAAAATCAACGGGAGCGCATAACGGTAAAAAGTTATGAGCATTTTAAGTTTTACATTGAAATCCGCCGCCGCGAGAAGAGCCCCTCCCAGCGCACCCTGTCCATCGGTCTCGTGGCCTAGTGGTGTGCGCATGGGTCTCTGGGTTGTCTGACCAGGGTTCGGATCCCCTCACGATTTTTCTTTTTTGCTTTTTTGACCAGTTCCTACTTTTTGCATGTCCAAACCCGGGAATAAGTTTTTCTTGACTGTGTGGCCCCTAAAAAGCACCAGCGATGATAAAATAAACTCCGGCAACAAAACCAGGATTGGACGCTCTCTATATCAAAGTTGGCAAAATCGTCGGAAACCGCCCTTTTAAGGCTCGGAGCGAATTCGAAGAATTTAATTTTTCAAAAACGGAACAGTACATCTTGATCAGCAGAAAATTCCCTTTCGAATGAGCTATCTTACCTGCGCCTTACGCGAAATTCTCGAAAAGTCTTCGGCTAGCTGGCCATACCCTACCCTTACACTGCATTCCAAAAATATTTTTGGCGGAAATTTTTGGCAGTCGTATGTAATATAGCTCATTTGAAAGAGCTTTCTTTGTTGAATAAGGAGCACTAATCAGTTTATACTAAATTCCATTCCGCGGGATAATACAGGGTCTCAAAGTTACTGTTTTTCGTCATTTTGCCGACTTTGAACCCTCATAACTTTTTACCGTTATGCGCTCCCGTTGATTTTATTACATATTTGGAATCCTCGCGCTACGGCGCGTCGAATGGTGTATCTGACTTCTCAAGGTTCGATGGCAAGTTCAGATACTTCCCTAGTTAGCTTCTTGCGGTTGTTCACACTTTCTATGCTTGCCTTTTCAGATTGCCGGCCCGGCACTGTGCGCTGACGAGTTGGTGAAGACCCTGCGCACCCTGGCCCGATTGCGCGAAGAGGATGGGTGCAGCTGCAAGCAGGAGATCGATTTTGTAAGTTTCTAGTCCAAAATCTTTGATGAGTTTTGTGCATGGCTTATCCATCTTTTTAGGCCATCGGTGCCGCCGTGCGCTACATTGGCGTGCAGCACGTCGTGCAAGTGTTGCCCCTGCAGATCGACCCCGATGCCCCGGTGCTGCCGCTCGACTTTAGAAGGTTTGAGCTTCATAGCCAATGCCCTAATCGAAATTATTTTGGGTCGTGGCTGCTGCCGGTTTTCCGCGTCAACATCCGCAACGCACCGCTGGAAATCTTCATAAAATACTTCATGCCGTTGGCGACCAAATTGTACAGGTTCGTGCAGCCATTTCGTTTTCAAATATCCTTGTTTTCAGGAGGCTCGACTCGTTGGAGAAGGTGACGGCCAAGGCGTACCACATCATCCAAGCGCAGCTCTGGGACTTGCTGCCCGCATTCACCGGGTCGGCGTCGGATTTCGAGACTGGTTTCCCGCATATTGCACAGGTATAATGGGGTTTCTTTGATCAACTCCAGACATTTAGATGCTTGGCGTTGCCCTGAACGAGCGCAAGGACCTGCGAAGCACGCTTCTGACCGGCATTCGCTCGGCGCTTCGATTCGCCTTGGCGCCGGATGCCCCGGAAAGTCGACGCGAAGTGATGTCAAGGTGATTTTTGCGCGTATTCGTGACGCAGAACTTTTCAGATTCGCCAAGAACTACTTGCCCATCCTCTTCAATATGTACGTGAACGACGGCGAGGTCGACGATGGTCATGAAGCGCAGGCCGTTCGGCTGTCCGCCCTCTCCGCCATCCAGGCCTACGTCGAGGCGGCCCCCCAAGAGCTCTTGGCCCAATACACGCGAAGTGCCATCCAGCGATTCGAGGTACGAGTTTTCCCAGTTGGTTTTACTAAGTTTCGCCTAGGCTTCGCGTGAAGTCTCGATGGATGCCTCTGACGCAGAGAAAAAGAAGGAGCAGCACAAGCAGAAGGACGTCCGGAAGCGCATTGTCGACATCATGATCGCCATGGTCAAGACGGCGTCACCCGCGGAAATCCAAGAGGTGTGTTATGAGTTCATGAGGCTTCATGGAATTCACACCGGACCCGGCCCATTTTGCGCTGATTCAGAAATTGTTTTCCAAGTCGGTAAAACGGCCAGACTAATGAAGTTTTTTGTTTTTCTCGCTTTGCCTTTTGGTATTTTTTCGCGCTGAAAAGCTTCATAGCTTTTTAAAATATGGTCTCTTCGCGGTTTTTAAAAACAGCATCGGAGCGAGCGCGAAATTCAGCGCAGTATAGACTTGGTCCCGTCTGGAAACTCGATTGTCAACCGCTCCAAAATCCGTTCCTTTTTAGATCTTTGCGCTCGTCACCCCGTTCTTCGACAAGCCAAAGGATGGGCCCATGCAAAAGAAAGCGTACCGTGTCCTGGTGGAAGTGCTGAAGCGAAGGTAACCATGCCTGCCTCGCGATTTCTAGAATCGATTTTTAGATGTGAACCCGACGTCGCGCAACTTTTCGCCGATGACCAGCAGAGGTTACTGGCGACTCTGTTGAAATCAAGCGACGCAGTGGCCGGTACGTTTTTCAGCGTCGTTTTCGAACTTTTTCCGTGTAGGCCCCGCCCGCTCTTCTCACCAAGAGGCTGTCGATGCCGTCCTCTCGTCCACCGATTCCTACGAAGAGTTGCAGCAGTTTGTTCAAGCCGCCCTGCCGCTGACGGTATTACACCATAAACATCTCGAAATTGTTGCTGCAGGTCCAATGCCTCGAGAAATCGAACTCGATGCCGACTCGTGAGAGCGCCTCGAAATGCTTCCAGCACATGTGCTTGCGGCTGATCGAGCGGGGAGCCGAGGAAGAGTGCGTCTTTTTTGCACGTCCTTTCAGTCATTTATTTTTTAGCAAGCGGCCCACCGAGGTGCTGTACACGGTGATCAACGCCATCTACGCGTTGCTGACCCCGAAGGCTGGCCAGCCTGCCATCTCTCTGGAAACAACCCGTGCTTGCTTGGTGGCGCTCAACATCATCGCGCAGAAGCATATCAAGGTAATTGATTCGCGTTTTTATAGTTTCTTGGCTCTTAGCTGTTTTTATTCGTTTCTTCTTAGAAAGTTATCAGAAAAAAAATGTGTATTTAGCTCTTGGACGGCTCGAATTTGGCGCGTCTGGTGGCCCAGGGATGCACAGCCATTGCCGACAGCCGACCGACGGTATGTTTTTTGTTGTTATAGTACGTTTATGGGTTTTTTGGGATTCTAAAAACTTCTTTTTTTCAGGTCCGCGTCCTCGGCATCCGCCTGGTGCGCATTCTCGTCGTCAAGATGCCGCCGGAAATCGCGCTCCACCAACATCGCGAACCAATTCTTCAAGCCTTCTTCGCACAGGATTGCGACACGGCAACCACCCAGGTTACAACAATTTTGCCGCCACTTTACGTGTATGTTTTGCAGATCCGGAAAGCCAACAAAATTCTGCTCGACGTCGTCCTCGACAAGTTTGGGCAAATGGTCGTCGAGAAGTACGCCACAGACCGGATCGACTGGCAGAAGCAGATCAAGGCGCTGGCGAAGGCGAAGCGAAGGAAGGCGCGCAAGGCCGAGGGCGGAGAGGACGAAAATGATTCCGGGGACGACGATGGACGATCGGTGGCCGGCTCGCAAGTGTCGGCCAAGACCGCCGGCGCCGATACGATTTTGCAGCTGCTTGAAGACAGTGCTGAGGAAGATGAGGTGAGCGAGCATTTTGATTGCTTTGTAGCCGTAGCTGTCTAATCTTTGATCTTCCAGGTCGATAAGGAGGAGATGATGGAACGACGCTCGCGCACCGGGAGCGTCTGGCTTCGCGAGGACGCTGACGAGGTCAACGACCTGCTGGACAGGAACATGCTGCTCAACAAGGTGTCCACCGTCGACCCGTCACTGGTGGCCAAGCGGGAGGCCCGGATGGCCGCGCGCAAGAAGGACAAGTGCGGATTCGCCGTGACGAAGGATGGCAAGCTGATCATCGATGACGAGAGTGACGACGAGAAGCCCAAGAAGAAAAAGAAGACTGAAAAGTGGGTCTTTATTTTTACTTTATAGTTATAATTCATTTTCCTAATGTTTTCTTTCCAGCGTCAATTCTGATGACATCGCCGACGTGATCGGCTCGAAGAAGGGCGCGACGAAGTCAAGGAAATCCGGCTCGGACGATGAGAGCGACGACGACGAGGTGGAAGATGACAAGAAGTCGAGGGTGTCGCGCGTCTCTCGGGTCTCCGGCGTCTCGCGCAAGAGCACCACTTCTGGATACAAGCCCGGCGGCACCGGCATTCACAGGGATTTGACTCGGCCTATTGCTAAGGTGAGCAAGATTTTTTGCGCTCTTATTAACTTTCGGATTTTCAGGCAGCCCGTCGACAGAACAAGGCCGGCGGTGACGTGAAGGCGAAGGGCAAGGCGCTCGAGCCGTACGCCTACGTGCCGTTGAAGAAGCTGGGCAAGAAGGGCGCCGCCGGTGCGGCTCAAGAGGTGCGTTTTTCGTTTTGTTGTGTTCGTAAATTTTTCGGTCTCACGTTATCGGGAGAACAACTTTTTCTGAGGTTCCCATTTTTCAAATAAATTAGCGGGGGTGTTTCTACACTGTTTTTTTTTTGCTATTCCTAAGCGTAAAAACTTTATAACTTTTGATTAGAAATACAAGAAAGAAACCGAATTTTCGACCAAAATTCGACTGTTTAACAGGCTTTAGATCATTTTTCTAGTTGTATTATAGTTTCAGCTTGCTAAAAACACGCTTAAAATCCTTCCATTGAAGTTACTAGGCATTACTCATTGCTTATACAAAAAGGCCGGTCCCCGTATATTGCAAAATAACCAATTTTTCGTTCCAGGAAATCCGTCGGATGACCGGTCGCAAGCGGAAGATGCGGAAGTGAGCAGCAACGATCCGGAAACCATTCTGGTGCCGTGTAGTTTCGCCATTTTCGCCCCCGCCTCAATTCTTTCTTCACGTTGTTTGTTTGTTGATTTTGTTCACGCGCTAGTCGAGATATTTTGTGGGGTCCACTTGTTGTTTTTACTGGATTTCCCCCCGCCACACGTCGTTGTGTTTGTTTTTGTTTATTTGTTTGTTTCTGTTTCTGTTGTTCTTTGTTGCGGCTCGTTGCCAATGTGTTTTATCGCATAAACATTTCGACATTGCCTTTCACGTTGGGTATCTCCGCGACGATAGATATTTATTGCCCTCTACCTCCCAATGGTGGCCGCATTGCAATCACATTTTTCGTTGTCAACAGCGTATCACAAACAAGAATTAATGGCGAGTAATTTTTGTAAGAATGGAAATTTGGTATCCGATTTTTAAGGGGGATCTCTTTGCGGCTTGAAGTGGCGGCGGGACGCTTTAGCGGCTTCGGCGTGACATCCTCCTGAAATGGCTAGCATTTTGGGTGCTGGACTATTAGCGGGGGAAACCAAATGTTTCCTAGAAATTCTCTACAGTTCTATCTAAGTTGTTTTAATAGCATTTTGCATAGGCTTTAGCTATCAAAACCACCTTAATGATCATAAAAATTTTCGACTATTTTTGAGTTTTTTGTTCAGTGTATGAAAACTGGCTAAAAAACGTTGGTCAAAATCCCCCAGCTAACAGTCCAGTACTTAAATTTGCTATATTTCCAAGGTTTTTGAACTGCCCACTTCTTTTTGGACACCTTCGGCAGCTGATCGTCGTTGTCCTGATTTTCCGTGGCCTCGGTGACGTCCGTCTTGATCCCTCTGCCTTCGGGCTTGGGCTTCCGTTTCGCCGGCTCCTCCTTCTTCGCGTCGTCGTCCTTGCGATTCTTGGCTTCGTTCTCCTTGCGCTTCTTCTCTTCATCTTCCTTCTTCTTTTTCTCCTCCTCTTTCGCCTGAATACGGGTGGCTTTTTCTCCTCACAATTTTTTGCATGCGTCTGGAAATACCTAGCAACTTAATAGCAAGTGTTTTATAGTGTTTTTTAGTAAAATCAAACCATAAATTTCAACTAGAAAACTAAAAACTAAAAAATATTCAAAAAGGCGAATGTCTTTCTGGAATTCCTTTTTTACAAAGCGCCCAGTTTTGCCAGAAAAATCTAGATTTCTGGTGTTTTTCAGTAGATTTTGTAAAGTATTCACATAGCATGGCAAAAAAACAGTTTAGAAACACCTCCGCTGTTTGGATTTGAAAAATCGGTGCCTTGGTAAAAGTTGGTTTTCGACCAAAATTGGATACACTTTTAAATTTTTTAAAGTGTTGAAATAGTTTTTTAGTTGAAAGATAGTTATAATTTACTAAAAACACCAATAAAATATTCCTATTACATCCTAGGCATTTTTAGATATGTCCTCCAACCTTTTCCAGTTCCTCCTTGCGCTTCTCGCGATCCTGGGCGGCCTTCTTCTCGCGTTCGTCGCGTTCGGCGAGCAGCTTGGCCTGGCTTTTGATGAGGCCGAATCGGTGGTCGTCGGTGATCTTGCCCTCCCAGTCGAGCTTGTCGTTCAGGTTCAGCTTGTGCACGGCGGCCACGTGGTCCACGTGGTCCTGGAAACCAGGAAATAATGCAGCTAGGAGACGTCTGGGTCTTTCCTTTTCCTTGTTTTTTTGTTTGAAAAGGCCTTTTCCTACCATAATCTTCTGGTAGGGCGGCTGGTCCTCGTATTGGAGCAGGTCAAGCCATTGGCACACCTGGTAGAATTCGGGCGGGAATCCGGGCAGCCACCCTGCAAGCCAACGAATGGCAAGGCAAAACCATGGATTATGTATTTTGTGGGAAAATTCTACTGTACGCTATGTACCAAAATGTCAATTTTTCGGCTGGAATCGATGCAGCTCGATGGGTTTGTGCGTTTCCAAGTGAAAAAACGATTGGGAAACGCTTCTGGACAAAGTTAGAGGCTTTCGAAAATGGCGAATATACTTTACGGTATGTTCATAAAATGTCATTTTTTCAACTGGAAGCCATAAAGCTCGGTGAGGTAAAGCGTTTTCAGTTGCAAAAACAATTCGGAATATCATAAATCAAAAGTTATTACGTTTTAAAGATTTTTTATTTGTTAAGGAGCGTAGGCCGGTTGAAAAATTGACATTTTGAGAACATACCATAAAGTAGAATTTAGCCTATTCACTGCTCTGTTAGGGGGGGGTGGGGTTGGCGGAGAATATTGATTTTTCCCAACAATCTTATGCCTACGCCTTATGCACCCTTAAGCAACGTCTTATGCTTTAACGAACGATTCACTTTTTTGCAAGTAACTTAAGCAATTTTTAGATCTAGAAAGCTTCTCAAGAATAATTAAATTTTACGGGAATTAGATTTTTTTGGTCAAAAATGCATGAAAATGACAAAAAACTGTTGATATCGAATTTCAAAATTTTTTTTTGAATTTTTTGGGTTTTTCTAGCGATCAAAAAGTATTAAAAGCACTATAAAAACACGTTTACATGTTTGCATATTTACTTTGCCTCGCTGAAAACCCTCCCTAAGTCCGGCACCGGCTACCCTCGCTCGTCCCTACAAAAATACGCGTAGCCCCTACACTCCTTCTTGAAGACCTGCTCGCGGGCGACGAGGACGTTCGGGCCCGGGCACCATCGCTCCGTCCACAGCTCGAAGAGGAAGTACAGCCATGACTGAAATGCAGGGTGGGGGGGGGTAGCAGGGCGAATTTGTGGAAAGTGCTTGCTGGCCGCTTTAGGGAGCTGGAATCTACCTCAACATCGTCGCGCCTCGACAGCTCCTTCAGCTTGAAGCAGTTGCGCGAGCGGTAGGTGACCGCGCCGATGCCGTCGACCGGACCCCGGCGCTCGCGGCTGAATAAATGGCGTGATTTTCTCTCTCTCGCTCTTTCCCTCCTCCCTCTTTCTCTCACTCTCTCTCTCGCTCTCTCTCTCTTTCTCCCTCTTTCGCTCACTCTCTCTCTCGCTCTCTCTCTCTCTCACCATCTCTCTCTCGCTCTCTCTCTCTTTCTCTCGCCCCAATAAACCTCACCGCGCGGTGACTTTCCCGCTTGGCGACGTCTCCGTCCACCGCCTGGCCGTCCCGAAGTCGAGCATGTAGACGGTGCGGTCCTTCTCGCCGAGGCCGACCGCAAAATTTCGCGTTGACACGTCGCGGTGGATGTAGCCGACGTCATGCAAATCCCAGATTGCCTGCAGCGACTGCTTGGCGATTTGCATCAGGGTGCACAGCCTGGAATTTGCGAGTGAGGCAGGCTAGCAGGGATTCTTTGGGTGCTGGCCTGTTAGCAGCGGGAAATATAATCTCTCATTCTCTCCCCTTCTTTCTTACTCTCCCATTCTCCCACTCTCTCTCTCTCTCTCTCTCTCTCTCTCTCTCTTTCCCGTACTCTTTCTCGCACTCACTGGCTCTCAGTCTCTCGCAATTTCTCTCTCTCTCTCTCTCTCTCTCTCTCTCTCTCTCTCTCTTTTCCCGTACTCTGTCTCGCACTCACTGGCTCTCAGTCTCTCGCAATTTCTCTCTCTCTCTCTCTCTCTCTCTCTCTCTCTGCCTCTCTCGACCTACGTGAATTTGTGGTCGGGCAGTACGAGTCTTCTAATATCTTCAAGGCACAGCGACACCAGCTCCATCACCAGAAATTTAATCTTCAGTGCGGTGGACTTGCCGCGGTCGACGTACTCGAGGAAGTGGAGGCGACGTGATGGGGGCACCTGGCAGAGGACGTTTAGGAAAGTCAGATGTCTTGCTGACTCAACTCCGAGGGGCAAGCTAGCAAAGATTATTTCGGAAGTGGCAAACGAGCCGCGACCCCTTACAAGTTTATAAAGATTTTCGATATTCTTCAAAAAAACTCGTCGCACCTTCGCTAAATCCATCATGATCTGCACTTCTTGGTGTAGACGGCGCTTGTCTTGTTGTAGCGTCTGCCCCCTCAGTTCTAAAAAACCAGAAGCTTGAATTGATCTCTGCTAGCTTGCCCGTCGTCTCGGACTTCATCGCTGCCAGCTGCTGCGTCTTTTTGTTGCGCACCAGGTAGATGGTGCCGAACCCGCCGCTGCCCAGCTTCCCGGCGATTATGTAACTGAAAGGAGCAATTTGGGTCAGTCGCTTTCCGCAAAGAACCTCTGCTAACACTCCAAGTAGCCAGACAACTGCCGAAAACTCACCAAGCTTTTTCCGTGTCGAACTCGGTGCCGGGCTTGATGACTGGGGGCCCCGGCATACGCGGCGGCTCTCTGAAACGGGTAGGCTAGCAGAGATTATTTGAGGAATTGGAGGGGATGGAGGGGGCAGGCTAGCAAAGATTCTTTGAGGAATTGGAGGGGATGGAGGGGCAGGCTAGCAGAGATTCTTTGAGGAATTGGAGGGGATGGAGGGGCAGGCTAGCAGAGATTATTTGAGGAATTGGAGGGGATGGAGGGGGCAGGCTAGCAGAGATTCTTTGAGGAATTGGAGGGGATGGAGGGGCAGGCTAGCAGAGATTCTTTGAGGAATTGGAGGGGATGGAGGGGGCAGGCTAGCAGAGATTCTTTGAGGAATTGGAGGGGATGGAGGGGCAGGCTAGCAGAGATTATTTGAGGAATTGGAGGGGATGGAGGGAGCAGGCTAGCAGAGATTCTTTGAGGAATTGGAGGGGATGGAGGGGCAGGCTAGCAGAGATTATTTGAGGAATTGGAGGGGATGGAGGGGAGCAGGCTAGCAGAGATTCTTTGAGGAATTGGAGGGGATGGAGGGGCAGGCTAGCAGAGATTATTTGAGGAATCCGTCGAAAAAACTTACCAGCCAAGCAGGGTGGCAGTGTGGAGACAAAATGGGTAGCGATGGGCAAAAAAGTGGTTTCCCGGATCGGCCTGGCAGATGCAAATGCACAATGCCGGGATTATTCAGCATTTCGTTTCTCGGATTCAAATTTTACTTACAATTACAGAGTGTCCCAATAAAAAACACCCCCGC